TGAATGGCATAACCTATCTCTTCCAAAACTGACATGTGAAACTGCTCTTACCCTTCTCCAAATTTCATAAAAACTACCAATGATGGTACTTTGATCATAGTATGAGTTACTGTAGAGTTGATTCCTTTGCAATAAGTGGTCTCAGGCATAATAATTTTTGTTTGGTTAAAACATACATCAAACTCTTAATTAAAGCACACACTATGGCAACTCATCCAAGGCCTTTGGGCTGGGTCACTTGCAGTGCTAAGTTCCAGGGTCACTTACTTCAAAAGCCAGAGCAGTCATCTCCTTTTTCTGCTGTACATTCACTTTAGAATTATCAGTGAGAACACATGAGTTAAAACTGGTTTTCTACCACATGGAAGCAATACCCTTATTTCAACAAAAAGCAGGGGTAAATAATAGAATCCACTTTTTTACCTCTTAACCTTGCAAATGCCACTTCGTGATTCCTTCTTTGGTTCTGTGGATAACTGAGCAGTTCTCTGCTGGTCAGCTTACAATGCTACTTAGAAATTCCAACCAGCAGTGACTTCGTCTCCCTGAGCATGAGAGGCCAGTGGCATCTGTGTTTTCTCTTTCACAACACCTAACACTGTTGCCTATATATAGTACAGACAATAACAACAAATTGCTGATTATCACTAACGATCTTCTCGTAATTTAATAATCATTTAAGTTTGCATTAAAAAAACCCAACAAACTGCTGTGCTCAGTGGTGCATGCCTGTAATCCCAGCAGCTAGGAGGCTGAGGCAGGAATATAATGAGTTCAAAGTCAGCCTCAGCAATAGTGAAGCACTAAGCAACTCAGTGAGACCCTGTCTAAATAAAATACAGAATAGGACTGGGGATGTGGCTCAGTGGTCAAGTGGCCCTGAGTACAGTCCTGGTACAAAAAAAAAAAAAAACAACTTACACTTGTTTTGATTCCCCTGTGAACTGACTATGGAGTGACTCTGTGTATGTGATTGAATCACACCCTCAGATTCAAGAGGCACTTTTAAAAGCATCAATTCTCTTTTTTTCCATGTTTTTATTAGTGTATTAAATATAATAATGGGTTTCATTTTATGTAAGTAGCTATTCTTATCAACAATGTCAGCTCTATTCAGTCCAAACCAAGGGACAGTTTAATAATTAATTATTCACAGCAAAATGGATAGACAATGTGGATAATTCATTCTAAAAATTAGGTCAGCCACCACCTAAATGCACTTCTTGGTTCAATTTATATCAGTAACTGTCATCTTTGCTAAAAGGCACCAGTAACTGGTGAGTTCTGTACCTGGCCTCAGGTGTCACTTATATCAGGTGGCTCAAGGCCTTCTTTTGACAGATTGTAAAATGTAAACTGCATTTGAGAAGAATTCTTTTTCCTTTTAGAATAAAGAGGCACTTCAAAAGTGACCCAATGGAGTGTTTATTTTCCTGGGTGGCAATTTATGAATTCAGGGATTAACAGTGATCACTTCTCATAAATTGTTAATGTTAACAAACAAGGCATCGAGACCAGTACTGAGACATCATGTAGGGATGCCCTGATTGACACGGTTGGCTGGGCAGAGAGGCCTCTCTCCCTCCATGTGGATCCCTTATAAGGCTATTAAGCCCACTGAAAAATACAAACTATTGTCCTTCCAGAGCAGCTCCCATCTTCAGAGGACAGAGCCAAAGCTTTATGGTGACAATATAATTGCCAACTCTGCCAAATTCTGATGTGTAAAATCTGAGTGCAAACTCAGGCAAGCTGTCAAATCTCCGTGAACCTGCCATGGCAAAGGGCTATTTGTGAGCATTCAGAGAGTAACACATGGAAAGAACCTGGCAATCTTTTGGCACATAACTACAATTTGTTAAGTGTCTGCTAGTTCTAATACTACTACTATCCCTAAAAATAAAAGTAGAATTAGTTGGGCACAGTGGCTCACACCTGTAATCCCAGTGGCTCGGGAGGCTGAGGCAGGAGGATCATGAGTTCAAAGCCAGCCTCAGAAAAAGTGAGGTGCCAGGCAACTCAGTGAGACCCTGTCTCTAAGTAAAACAAAAATAGGGCTGGGGATGTGGCTCAGTGGCTGAGTGCCTCTTGAGTTCAATCCTTGGTACCTAAAAAAAGTAGAATTATAAAAATAACAAAGGTCTGAGAGATCTGAGTTCTTATCATTTCTAGAAAAGTAAATACTCTCATAATATGATTTTATTAACTACCTTTTAGTCTAAAAGAATATATTATTATTATTATTATTATTATTATTATTATTTTTGGTACTGGGGATTGAACTCAGACACCAAGCTGGCAAGAAACAGTATATCATTAACATGGGATTATTATTTAAATGTCCTTGATGTTTCTACTCTTTGAAAGGCAATGACTTATAATGTATCATCCACTTTTTGAAACTTGTAACAATTCTATTCTAGCTGGGCATGGTGGTACACACCTGCCTGTGATCCCAGTAATTCAAGAGGTTAAGGCAAGAGGATCACAAACTCAAGGTGGGACCTGGCAATTTAGGGAGACACTATCTTAAAAAAAAAAAAAAAAAAAAAAATCTAAAAGTGTCCTTATTTAAGGCTATACACTAAAAAGAAATTATACTTGATAAATAGACTATTACTGTGGACCTCTTGATGCCCACTGAATACTAAGAAAATACTCTGCCAAAGTAATTACATTTCAATAATCCAATTAAAATATCTAGAGAAGTCTAGAAGAGGAAAAAAAAAATCTACCTTCACCCAAATCTACATTTATCTTTTTGTTTGGGGTGGGGGGGGCACTAATGATTGAACCCATGGGGTGCTTTACCACTCAGCCACATCCCCAGCCCCCCAGCCCCGCTTTTGAGACAGCATCTTGCTAAGTTGTTTAGGGTCTATTTTTTTTTTTTTTTTTTTGGTGGTGCTGGAATTGAACCCAGGGCCTTGTGCACACAAGGCAAGCACTCCACCAACTGAGCCACATCCCCAGCCCTGCTTTAGGTCTCACTAAATTGCTGAGGCTGGTTTCAAACTTGCCATCCTCCTGCTTCAGCCTCTCAAATTGCTGAAAATTACAGGGATGCGCCACCACACCTGGCTACATTCACCTTTTAAAGACAACCCTCAAAACACGAACTCATAAAGATTTGAGAGTGAGGAAAAGGCAAAGAAAAAAAGGGTCTTTGCATTTCATTATTTAGAATCAAAACATCTGCTAAAATCAAGCCTTTCTCAGACAGAATAGGCTGTAGTTTCCTTTGTGACAGAGAGTCAGGTTGAAATTCAATTTAATAATTACATGATAGGCACTGATATAGCACCTAAGCTATAATTCTGGCCTACTTATGGAACTAGTCCAGAAAATAGATGAAAAACCCACATACATTCTGGTAACCATTCCAACTAATCATTTCTGTAAAATTTTGTCATACACATACATACACTGGTGCATGAATATTTTCCACCACAAAAGACAGATCTACCTAAATAATTACTTTTAAAAATTTATATATATATTAAAAATACACCGGGGGCTGGGGATGTGGCTCAAGCGGTAGCGCGCTAGCCTGGCATGCATGCGGCCCAGGTTCGATCCTCAGCACCACATACAAACAAAGATGTTGTGTCTGCCGAGAATTAAAAAATAGAAATTAAAAAATTCTCTCTCTCTCTCTCCCACTCTTTCTAAAAAAAAAAAACACCGGGCTGGGGATACAGTTCAGTTGGTTGAGTGCTTGCCTTGCATGCACAAGGCCCTGGGTTCAATCCCCAGCACCACA